CGCGTATCAAGAAAATGCAAAACCGCGTAATTGCATAAATTATTTTCTAGAGAGTAAAGTCACCCATATTTCAAAATGGTTATCTTTTTTATAAAGCAAACGTATTCTGGCTAGTATATTTCAGGACGAATGGATAAGAATTGAGCCAAGAGTTTTTGTGAGCAAATCCAATTTTTGGCAGCCAATGTCAGTCACACGGTTTTGAAGAATGACGATACGCGGTTTTGTACTTTAAACGACGATATATATGTACACATATTAGATTATTTATTCTCAAAATGCATGAAAACTATAGTATGCTTGCAAACAATTAATAACATTTTGTGATAAACAGTTTTACAAATGTATTTGCACTTCAAATTTGTATTTTAATAAAGTATTAATTAAATAAATTATTATTGTAAATTATTATTTTAATAAATAGATATAAAGATATTTATACTTGGCAACTCTTGGACTTTTCTTCATTTGTAACAAATGACAGACGTAAACAAAATAAAAAAATAATTGTATTTTTACAAATTTAAAGCAAACGGGCGTTCTTTACAAAAAAATGTAGTTATGGATCGAATTGCGCATATTTTTTTTACAATATCAAGTGCGCACAAGAAGTGTTAAACCACTAAATAGCTTAAAAAACGCTTTCAAAAATTCGAAACGAGAGTGAAGTGCAGTGTTCAATTGTGATCGAAATTGCAGGCAAAATGTGTGCGTGTGTAATTAATGTTTTACTTATTTGAAGAAATGTTGCCCGTTGTTATTAAAAATAAGGAAACCAAGACCCCCGATTTCCACTGGGGGTTACATAATACTTGAATAGCTCCTTAATTAACATGTGTTTGTTTTGAGCACGCACGGCCAGTTAAACAGGCATGTCTGAATCGATTTCCTTCATCATTCTTAGCAATTTGATGTGCATTTTTATTGTTATGTGTTGCAAACAGACATTTTAGGAACTAAATAGGTTCTAAAATCTCTGTACACAAGCGCACTTATTTTTAACAGTTTCCAGTTTATGTAATACTAATCAAAACAGCTTTTATTTATTTTATGTATTATGTGATTTCGGGAAGCGTCGAATACAAAAAAGGGCTGTGACTGGGTTTATGTAATTTGAAATTCTATTGATGATTACTAATAATAATAGAAAGGCGCTTACATATCGACACAACTAAAAATTTCATATATTTCAGTAGAGCCAATTAAAGATTTTTTGTTTCGTAATTTAGCAATAATATGTCTTGGAACGTAATTATTCCGGATTATAAGCAGTCATACTGTAAGCTTTCAAATTATGTATTTTTCTAAACCTGAAATTTTGAATTGTGCCGTTATTGCAGAGGACCACCGACATATGTTAGGGCTACTCCTCCGATTGTGGCATGCGCCTTGGCGTTGTCGCACAAAGGGGAGGGACCTACAGTTTTACGCCGACTCCTGCCGGGGGACGACCACTATTACAAAAAACATTTTCTTTTTTTTTTGCCGGAACTGGGCTCGGACGCTCACCCTGCGGAATGGTAGTGCGCACTTCTAACCACTACACCACAGCGATCGCTTAATTAATTTTAATCATTAATCGCGATTAACCATTTATTCGTTAATTTTTAGTCATTCATTGACTAACATTTTGTCGACAATACTCGCATAAGATAGTCCCAAATTTTCACAAAAGAGAAAAGTGATTTTGTTCAAAACTTTTGAATGACGTGTTGACTGAACTTACTAATTCGGAATTTCTACTATTACTTATAGAGTAGGCTATTCATAAAGTCTGGGTAATGAAATAAAAATTTTTCTATTATAAGTTCCATAAATATAAGGAGACTTTTATTGTTTAATTTATTTTTTGCACATAAACTTGTATCTTGAACTTCTTTTTCCAAAAAGTGAGGATGTCAAAATTTCAATAGATATCGGAAAGAGATCTCCTAATAGATAAGTTCATGAAAATTATTCCAAACGAAAACTTAAAATTGATAAAAAAAATAATAACTAAATTTAACTAATTTATATTAGAGGTTTGAAGTTTATCCCACTGTAAGTATGAAATCTTCAGCTATGTGTTTCCATTGTCACTTTTTCGTAGCCATATCAACAGCCTGACAATTAAGAAGATTGTGACGTTTCATGCTACCATACGCAATATCTTAAATCCTTCAAATTTTATTATTAACCTTTTGTTTGTTAAAAACATTTTCTTCTTAGATTCGAAACTTGATCAAGCAAAATTGCCTTTGTGTTTGACTAAGAGATGCTCAATAAGCTCAGAATTGTAGTTCTCATTTGCATACATAACAATAAATTATTAATTTTTGTTTCACACCAACTCCAATATTGAATAGTAAAATATATTTTAATCTTACCCAAATAAACAACGATTTAGTTCAATGGTCAATCACATATAGAGTATAGGGTGGTAATGTGTTAAAGTTTCAAAGTTTTTAAACGTAAAATTACGGCTAATACCTTTTTAAGCGTTTTGTAATTTAACCAAAACTCATTAGCATCCACTCAAGCAAGGAATTATTTACTTTTCAACATGCATTAGCAGAGTGCACTTCTCTTTTGTTTAGAATTTGGTTGTCAAACACACTACATCGGATCTTTTGACAGATTTACCAGAATTTTCCACCAGGTAGCTTCTGACAAAGAGATGACCTTACGTACTCTCTTATTTGTCCTCTCAGTTGCCAGAAAACCAAGTACGATTTCCGGTAAAATCTGGAAATTCTGGTAAAAAATGGTAATTTCGGACTCATGCGGGTTCACAACTAAATAATATTGGGAATACTTTTGAGGTGTTTGAAGAGGGTTGCGACCTGTTTGAAACTAAATTTATTTATAATAATCATATTTTGGCCTTGCCACTTTTGCTAAGTTTTGGCCGAGCTTCTCCTCCGATTTGTAGCGTGCGCCTTTGCTGTCACACAAATGAGAGGGACCTACAAACTTACGCCGAACGGCGATACAATTTTTATGATGAGCTATTTTTTTATTAAAGACACTAGGATTTTTAAAATATTTTCAATAAAATTTTATCAACCTAAATGTAAAGCTTATGCGAAGTAGTTATCTAATTTAAAGAAAATTTTAAACATTTTGAAGATAAAACATGAATTATATTTAAAACGTAAATGTTAATACAACTGTTTTATATATAATCCCAAACATATGATATAAAATCGCCTCTACCAAAAAACTTAAATTGGGTAACGCCGGTTTGAATTTTTACAATTGAGCAATTGTCAAAAATCTTCCTTTTTATCAAAAAGTTATTTACCAGGGTGTCTTTGAACTAATGATTGGTACTGAGTTAAAGAATGCACACACATAAAAGATTGCAGCCTTTTCAATACTCATTCAGTGTTAAACCTTTTTTTGATTGGGCATTGGTTTTTTCAATCTTGCTATGAATATGTTGATGTGTGAATTCATAACTGCTTTGAGAGAATGGAAAATTCAAAAATTTTAAACCTCAATCCTAAGCGAAGAATAAGTAATGAAAACTGGATAGAAAAAAATTGTTGATTTAAAATTGAAAATGATTTCACACTTACACAGCTCTGGTGTGCGGCACTCAAATAAGAGCAGTAACGATTGAAAAGTATTAGTAAAAAGCCTGTGTAAAAGAAACATTTAAAGAACATTGAACATTGAAAGCGAAAATACGAGATGGAAAGTACGTTGGTACTGCGCCTGAGTGAAGTGCCAGCGAATGAGTTGGGCGAGTGTCCCATTGAACGCAGCGACGAACAAAATATTTTGATGACGAATGACGAAGGTGAGCAGACACAGCAGCTAGCCGGCGACATCGTAGCCGACGCTGAACTTGCAGACATTCAGGTCGATTACAGCACGTTCAGCGTTGCCATTTTAGCCGTTTTCCGGCTAGATTTAGCCGGTTTTGATAGCAACTAGCCGGAGAAAATTCGATCTAGCCGGCAGCCGATTTGTTAGCCGGTTTGTAAAAAAACGTTAGCCGTTTTTAGCCGATTTTACTATTTGCCTAATTTTCAGGTGCAAAAAGTAAACAAGTTGTTCGAAAGCAATAATGCAGACCCAATGAAGATTTTTAATGAACTCAATGTTTTACTTTCGCATCTATGCTCCCTAGTGGTTATTAGCGCGGACACATTTGATCCTATATGCTCCCCGTTGGAACCATACCTTGCTCCATTTCCTCAGTTTTATCACAGTTTTGATGAGTATTTAAAAACAAAAGTAAGTACAAACGCTTTTGACCACGAAGCCGAGAAAATAATTCGAGAAAATGGTCGCTATTTTATTATCACTTTAATAAACGAATTACGCCAACGCCTCCCTATAAATATTGCCACACTAAAAAAAAAAATTACTTTTTTCGGTTGGAAATACATTAAGAGTAATTAAACCAAAAGTATTTGTTCAACTACAGCAACAAAAACACAAATATAATGCCGACGAAATAACATCCATAGAGATGCAATGGCAACGGTTAACGTTACATACCTGGAGTAATTTAGACTCAACTGTAAAATTTTGGGCCGAAGTTTATCAATTTCGAAATGCCCTAGGAGAAAACCCTTTTGCTGACCTTTCCAACCTAGTTTTTAGTTTTCTTGTTTTGCCTATAAGTAATGCAGAAGTAGAGCGAATATTTAGTTCAATGAATATACATAATAAAAACTAAGCAAAGAAATCCAATGTGCGTTAAAACATTAAACGCTATTTTATATATAAGATGCGGTTTAAAACGTGAAGAAAAATGCTGCCAGAATTTTACTGTAGATGACGATCTCTTAAAATTAATGAATTCAGGTGATATATACAATAGTGATTCATTTGATGATGAGGAATATACACTCGATATAAATTAATGGTGTTAACTAGTCTTTCGTTTCTTGCGATTTATTTAAATAAAGCATGTGAATTTTCACTAAAACATTTTAGCCGTTTTTAGCCGCTTTTTTTGCCAATCTAGCCGGTCGGCCCAAAAAGTTCTGGCAACACTGAGCACGTTACAGCGAAGCGAGCAGAGAAATGACCAGACATCTATCAACGCAGCAGAACAAACGGCACAAACAAATGCACATGCAAACATCAACGCTATAGATTTTGAGTTGTTGGTACGCGAAGCAAACCTGCTAAAGCGTGAAAAAGAAATATTGGAAAGAGAAAACGCAATGCTTCAGCGGCAATTGAGTGGTAGTGAAATAGCGAGTAACACAATAGTAACCCAACGAACAATATCATTGGATATGATACAAAATATGATTCCAGAGTTCAGCGGCGGAACCAACGTTAGTGTTTGGGTGGCACAAATTAAAAATATTGCTAGCGGTTACGATATTAAGGAAAATGAGTTGCGCATATTGATGCTAAACAAATTGAAAGGCAAAGCACAGCATTGGCTACACAGTATTCCAAACTTTGCAACTGAAGAATTGAACTCCTTAATATCTCAAATGGAAAACGTTTTCGGCTCAAAGGAAAGCCGCGTGCTGTTGCGACGTCGATTTGAAACTCGACAATGGAAGGCCGGTGAAAATTTTTCACAATATTTTAACGACAAAGAAATGCTCGCAAGTCAGCTACAGCTTAGTGAAGAAGAGTTAGTAGAATACGTAGTTGAAGGCATAGCAGACGACCGGTTGCGTACCCAAGCTTATTTACAGTGCTATACAACAAAGGAGCAGCTAGGGAAGGCCTTCACTAAAATTGAAGCAGGGCGAAAGACGACAACAACAACGACTACGAGTGTAGCTGGTGCCCAGATGCGCGATGTTAGATGCTACAATTGTAATAGTCGGGGTCATATTGCACCGAACTGCCGTAAACCAAAACGCGACGTCGGCGCATGCTACGCGTGTGGCAGTAAGGACCATCGAGTGGCAGCATGTACGGATAAAAAGAATATTCATATGGTCGACGAATATGTAAGAATGTTTAAATTTATTATAAAAAATGATGTCTATATTTCTTTTTCCTTAGAATGTTTAATTGACACAGGAAGTCCAATCAGCTTCATAAGGCGATCATACGTTAAAGACAAACTAAATCTAAAATCTTTATTAAAGTTAAATTCTTGCTACTTTGGTTTAAATGATATACAAATTGTAACTTATGGAAAGTTTTTATGTTATGTCAAAATAAAAAATGAATATTTTGCATTTAATTTTGTAGTAGTCGATGATTGCACCACAAAGTATTAAGCTGTGTTAGGACGAGACTTTTTAAAGGTTTGTAAATTCGAATTAAGGCGAGATTTTGAAAAGGATAAAAATATAAAGCATACAAAACAAATGAAAGAAGTAAAATTGAAAGATAAAGGTAGTGAAAAAGTAGAAGATATCGAAAAAGTAAAATTGAAAGATAAATTTAATGGAAAAATAGAAAGTATCGAAGAAGTAAAATTAAAAGATAAACGTAATGAAAAAATGAAAAGTATCGAAGATATAAAATTGAAAGATAAAGATAGTGGAAAAATTGAAAGTGTCGAAGAAGTTTTCAAATGTAATGCTGAAAACGGTTTTGTGAAACAGCTTTTATTAATAAAAGTTGATAGCGAAAAATCAAATGTTAAAGTTGGTTCACATATAGATTATTGTCATGTACAAAAGTTTTACGAAATTTTAGATAAATGTTACACAAGTTCAAAACGTTCTGGTGAACCTAAAACTAAGAGTGAAATGAAATTGGTCGTTAACAATGTAAAGCCTTTCAACTGTCCTCCAAGACGTCTGTCGTATTCTGAAAGAAATGAATTGCAAAGATTGTTAGATGAATATCTGGAAAAGAAAATTATTAGACCAAGTGAGTCGGAGTTCGTGTCTCCCATCGTACTGGTAGGCAAAAAGACAGGTGACATCAGAATGTGTGTTGACTATAGGGCGCTTAATAAAGTAACAGCCAAAGACAATTACCCAATCCCCTTGATTGATGATTTATTGGATAGAATGGCAAACAAAAGATTGTTCACAAAACTTGATTTAAAGAATGGTTTTTTTCACGTATTCATGCAAGAAGATTCAATTAAATATACTTCTTTTATAACACCTTTAGGACAATTTGAATTTCTACGTATGCCTTTTGGGCTTAGGAATGCGCCGTCTACATTTCAGCGGTTTGTAAACAAAATCTTTTCAGATATGGTTAAGAAGAACAAAGTGATAATTTATTTAGATGACATAATGATAGCTACCCAAAATGAAAAGGAACATTTTGAGATTCTAGCTGAAGTTTTTGAAAGGTTAGTTGAAAACAATTTAGAGTTGAGGTTAGACAAATGCGAATGCTTGCAACGTGAAGTCAAGTATTTAGGATATACTATTTCGAAAGATGGACTTAAGGCAGATGAAAAAGGTTTAGAAGCGATTCGTAATTTTCCAGTGCCAACTAAAGTTCATTCCGTACAAAGTTTTTTTAGGATTATGTTCGTATTTTAGGCGATTTGTTAAGGATTTTTCAGTCATTGCAAAACCGTTGTATGACTTAACGAGAAAGGCTAGAAAATTTCAGTTTGGTGTGGAAGAATTACAGTGTTTTGAAACACTTAAACAAAAACTATTGGAAGCGCCAATATTAGCAATTTATGATCCAAAGGACGCAACGGAATTGCACTGCGACGCAAGTGCATTAGGATTCGGTTCAATACTGATGCAAAATAAAGCAGATAATAAAATGCACCCGATTTTTTATTTTTCTAAAAGAACTAGCGAAGCTGAGTCAAAATATCATAGTTTTGAGCTAGAAACCTTGTCAATAATTTATGCGCTTAAACGTTTTAGAGTTTATTTACAAGGGCTAAAGTTCAAAATAGTTACTGATTGTAATTCGTTAACAATGACTTTGAATAAAAAGGAATTAAACCCTAGGATAGCTCGATGGGCACTTGAGCTACAAAACTACGACTACTTATTAGAACACAGATCAGGTACGCGTATGCAACATGTTGACGCGTTGAGTCGAAGTAATAATATTCTACTGATAGAAACAAACACATTCGAAGAGAATTTAATTATATGCCAGGCAAAAGATAACAGATTGAAAGAAATAAGAGATATTTTACAAAAAGGTGAACATAACCTGTATGAGATGCGAAACGGAATTGTGTATAAGAAGACTGGTAGTGGTAAAGTTTTATTTTGTGTCCCTGAAGATATGGAAAGCCATGTACTATTTAAGTATCACGATGAAATGGGTCACATTGGTGTTGACAAGGTGGTAGACCTTATTTCGAAACATTACTGGTTTAGGAAAATGAGGGAAAAAACGGCTAAACACATACAAAATTGTTTAAAATGTATAGTATTCTCACCTAAGCAAGGAAAAGAAGAGGGGTTTTTACACAGTATACCCAAAAAAGATAGTCCGTTTGAAGTATTACATATAGATCATTTTGGTCCGGTCGACAATTCAATGGCAAAGAAACATATTTTCGTAGTTATAGACGCTTGCACAAAATTTGTCAGGTTGTGTACTACAAAAACAACTAATAAAAAAGAAGTTATTAGTTCTCTTAAAGATTATTTTCGATCGTACAGCA